CTGGTGGGTTTGAACTGCCAACCTTCTGGTTAGCAGTCAAGTGCCTTAGGCACTATGCTACCAGAGCTCTAAACCATGTAGTACTTTGTTTTTCAAGTCATACATATTTTATTTAACACTAAACATAACTTTGTAAAGTAAATAATAACCCCACTGCTGTCAAGTCGGACCTGACTCATAGCAAGCCCTCCTTGTGTTTCCAAGGCAGTGTCACTAGGGAGGTAGATTGCCCAGCCTTCCTTCTGGGGAGTGGCTGGTGGGTTTGAACCGGCAGCCTTCTGGTTAGCAGTCAAATGCCTTAGGCACTAAGCCACCAGAGCTCCCAAAGTAAATAATACTATTTTTATGCTCATTTTAGAAATGAGGAAATGGAGGCTCAGAGACCCTCCTAAAGGTTCTGTAAGTAATAAATGGGAGAACTAAATTTTAATTCAGTCTTTGAATACATATCTTTTGTGTAGCCTTTTCACTATTACCATAATACCTTTATGATAGAGGCACTATTATATTGTGTTTTTTTTTTTTTTGCATATTAAGAAAAAGAAAGTGCCTGGAATATAAATGTTTTAAAGAATATAACTTTGCTTACAATTTCCAAATTGATCTTTCAGATATATAATTTGGGCACCTTTTGCCTCAGGTTGGTAATAAAACAACTGCTCTGCAAAACTCTTCCATAAGACAGAGATACATCTTTGGCAGCTATTGTCCTTGGTTCTCGAAAGGGAAAATCAAGGTTCCAAAAGCTAAAGTGACTTCCTCTCCATAGCTGGCCCTGTGGGCGGGGCCCGGAGGCTGAACTAAGATGGGCTCTCAAGACTTTCCAGCCTCTGGTAGCATAGTGCCTAAGACACTTGACTGCTAACCAGAAGGCTGGCAGTTCAAACCCCCCAGCCACTCCTCGAAAGGAAGATGGGGCAATCTACTTCCGTAGTGTTACTGCCTCGGAAACCCAAGGAGGGGTCAGTCTGAGTCGCGTCCGACTCAAGGGCACATAACAACAACAACAATTCTATTAGCATTTCAAAAACCTGAATTCCTCCTCTCTCCCGCCTTTGGCATTTTGAAGCAATTTTTTATTAAATTGCGAAGAGCACGCGGAGGGTATGGCGCTCTTTGTTTGAGGGCTGCTCTTTGGTGCAGATGCTGAGCTATTACTCCGGTTGGACTGGGATTTGAATCAGAGTGCTCGCCAGGGGCTAAGCTGAGTGAGTAAGCGGCCGCATCTAAGTTTCTTGTGCAAAGGTAAGGATTGGAAGCCGCCCCGCCCACTTCAAAAGACCGGCTCTTGGGCACGCTCTTAGTGCCTAATGAAGCTGGTCTTTACGTTCACGTGGACAATAGCCACGTTACTTACTTTCTGAAAAAACATGCAGAAACGAGCAACTTTAAAATGTTACTCTTGGCGTGTAAGACCCGAGATCCAAGACCAGGGAAGTCAAATGGGCGTCGACAATGTAACCAAAAAAAAAAAGCATTTATTTTGTTGTATATATATTATGTGTGTGTGTGTGTGTGTGTGTGTATAAAAGGAGCTCTGGTGGCTCGATGCCTAAAGCATTTGACTGCTAACCAGAAGGTTGGCGGTTCAAACCCACCAGCCACTTCGCAGAAGGAAAACTGGGCAATCTACTTTCATAAAGATTTACCGCCTTGGAAACCCGATGGGGGTCGCTATAGTCAGAATCGACTGAATGGCAGTGGGTTTGGCTTTGATTTATTATAGATAAATGTAAAATTGCAGCTTGCACGGAGATGATACGTTTTTCACCCCATTACTTTATGTCTAGTTCACATTGGTGCAGCCAATTTCACATACATTTGTCAGCAAGCACCCCTGGCCCTGCCTCTTCTGCGTTGGGCTGTTGTCCCGGCCTTGGGCCCCACCTGCGTGCGCCCAGGCCGAGCCAGCCTCGCCAGGTCGCCTCCGCCCAGTGACGGACTGGGGCGCGCGGCTTCGGGGGCGGACTCCTGCCGCCCAGCGGAGACGCGATTCGTCACTGTAGCAGAACTTTCCCCCTGAAAATCCCTGCACCAGAACCAGCCCTCCCGCCTCGGGCAGGTTTTGATTTTAGTGGTTTTCCTTCCTTTTATTTTCTGTCGGGGTGCGAGTTTTGGCTGCGGAACGAACTTGCAGCTCATCTGAGTACATGTCAGTGGTAATCTCTCCTGCAGCGGCTTACCCTGACACCATGCACTCCGAAGCAGACGAATCCAAGGAAGGTATGATTGTGATTTCTTTGGGCACCCGGAGTAGTTTTGAGAAGGAATGTGGAGGAAAGGAGCTGGGGAATGGATGGGAGTGTTGGAGTGAGCCATAGGTACTTTGTTCGTTCCCTGAGCCTTCGCAGCCTAGTTGGAAATGCGTATGCGGTGGCAGATACACCCATCTCTATCACTTCTCACCAGGCAACCTTTCAGAAGGATAGGAAAGGAAGAACCAGCTCACTAAAGGCTGCTTTTTAGATTTATTTGGAAACAACAGCTCGAGGACTGACTCAAAGAATGCAAAATGTACTTGGGACAGAACAGGGCTGCCTGCCTGCATCAGGACAGCCGAAAGCTGGGATCCCTTCGAGGAGCCCGGAGAGTCGAGGGTCCCTTGCAAGGGAGTCAAAAATTGAAAACGTCGTGTTTCTAGCCAAGAGGAGCTGAGGAAGGGGGAGAAATGAAGGAACTTTTTTTGGGGAGTGGGGTTTTTCTTGTGTGTGTGTATCCCCCTGCTGGCTTTTCAATAGTGAGTTCATTTTTCGGTGCGAGAGGGGGTGGGGTGGGGGACCAGAGAGATGTGAGGGGAGCCTTGTGCAGATTGAAACTGAGGAGAGTTGTCTGTTTTTAACTTTGCCGAAGCAAAGGGTTTCATTTACTCCTAACAGAGAACGGGTGACAGGGCTGGAAAAGCTCCAACCCAAACACGATTATATGCTGGTGTGAGTTTGGGGAGTTTATTTGTGTGTGAGTGTTTGTATGCTTTGTTTCCTGAAATTTTATGTACACAAAAGTCCTTTTGTGAGGGTGGGGGTGGATGGGGAAAACTAGAGTAAGAGGGTGAGACTGTTCAAGATTGTGAAATTCCTTTTCTTTTCAAGTACCCTCTTGGGAAACTGGTAGATTTGAAGCCAGTCACTGCTGCTCTGGCAGCCAGAGGAGCAAGGAGTCCATCATTTCTCCATTTGGTAGACATCAAGTAGGAGAGCACTTGAAACTTGCTTTCTTCTTTAACTTACTCTCCTCAAAGTAAAGGCTTTGTGTTTCAGAGTGTAGCCTCCTGGGCCAATGTTTACCTTTTTATGCTGTGTGAGGGAAATAGTCAATGAAAAGGAGACTTGGTTAATAGGAACATGGGCTGACATGAATGAAGAATGGCAGGACCATTGTTTTGGAGCTTGGAGGATGAATGTTTCCTTGCTTGGCCTCTGACTTGATGGAGCTATGTGTTGATGGTAGTGTCAGATTACCTAATAAGCAAGGTAAGCATGGGCTTACTTGTGCTTATTTACTAATCTATACTGAACAGTTTCACATTTTTTTCACCAAATCAAATATTCTACTTCTACGTATGGCTGGGATCTGTCTCTCTCCCAACCCCACAACACCTTCCCACAGAAATAAAGCCTCCTTTCAAATTTACAATCCCTGACATGGCAGAGTACCCAGTAAGCAAAGCAAGTACAGGCTTACTTGTGCTTACTTACTAATCTGTAGTGAACAGTTCCACATGTTTTACACCATATCGTTCACTGGAGATTAGTAAGTGCTTACTTACAAGTAAGCCTGTGTTTACCTTGCTTGTTGGGCAATCAGCCCCTGGCTGATGGATGCCTTTCTTTTCTGAGTATGTTGTTTCTGAGTATACCAGCAGCTAATAGTGTCAAAAGAAGTTGAAGGCAAATAGAAACAAGTGAGATAATCCAATGGTGGTGCACTTTTGTATGATTGCCAGTAGCACTTAAATTGGAGTTTTCTCTTGTGTATGTTTTTCCTCTCTTTTGGTAAAAAGTAGGGAGAAAGCAGAAAACAGCATCCGGAAGTATGTATTACACATTTCATCTAGCAACATCCCCAATCTTCCCTCCTTTCCCACTTCTCCAGTTATAAGTTTGCAAACAGCCTGCAAACTGGAGTGTGAAGAGTTTCCTTCATGGACCGCCTCTTACTTGTTCCTCGCCTTGCCTCCATTCACCATCATGTACATTCTGCAGATCTGCAGCAAATGACCTGACCTCTGTGCTTTTTGTAGAAAGCCCAGAATTATTCATTCCAGTTAACCTGAAGTGCTAGAATTTAAAAGTGATGACAATTAGGGTAGGGTATTGAATAACTCCTGAGAGAGACTGATGAAATACTTTAATAACCAGTTAGAATCATCGCAGCTTCTTCCAGAAATAAAGGATGAGTGTGAGTGTACTGGTGTGTGTGTGTCCCAGGTAGTGCTTGCAAAGCTGATTATTGGTTAGAACCCTGTGTTAGCTTCCTGTCACCACTCAGATGCCTATGAGAGGAGCTATGCTGTATAAATCACTCAGTTATCTTACTTCTCTATCCTTACTAATTTGTGCCCCTTCCTCTTATAGTTAGACTTTTTTTTCTTCTGGCAAGCTTACTGTAAGATCACTATGAGCTGTTCACAATGTTTGGATTGCAAGAAAATTGTCTTTGGATGCTTTATGCCTGATTTGCTGTAATGGGAGATACTTTTAAATCATTACTCTAAACCACAGTGCAGGATTGGTATACTTTGAGGTTGAATCTGGAAAAAAAAAAAAAAAAAAAAATCAAGTCAAAATCAGAGACCCTTGGAGGACAAATATATGTGCATGTGTGTGAATGTAGGAACAAACGACTGAGGATATTGTTAAGCCGTCATAGATTAGAATGCACTTGACTCCAGGCTAGGAGCACTGAGCCTCACTCCTCAGTCTATAGCCACTTCCTAAAGAATTGATTTAATTTCCACAGCTTACAAATGAATAAGTGATACTGCTTGAGTATTAAATGGAGAAAAATCACCCAGGCCTTTTTATTACTCTTATTAAAAGCTGAAGAATGTGTTTAAATTGTCCAGGCATAATATGATTAGGGCAGTAAGAGAAATAAAGGAAGAAACCCATTTACTAAAAAAAGGGGAACACCGTTAAAGGGAAGATATTAACAGTTTCCAGGGGATGGAGGCTTCCTGAGGAGATAGACCAGTGACCACATTTTTGGCATTTAGTTGCTTTCTGTTGAGTAAAGCCACTTAATTATGAAATACCAAAAATAAATGACAGTTAAGATCACTGAGAACATTTATAATGCTGAGGACAAGGGCTCCTTTGCCCTGGCCATCATGTCTATGGTATCAGAAAGCAAGAAAGCCATTATCAACAGGGGTTACTTTTTTTTTCTTCAGTCTGTTGTTTGGGTAGAAGTTTACAGAGCAAATTAGTTTTCTATTCAATAATTTAGACACATTTTGTTTCATAACAGTAGTTGCAAATTACTCAATGTAACATTGCTCTTCCTGCTTCCTCCCTGGGTTCCCCTTTTCTATTTGTCCTTCTTTCCTGCCCCTTCCTACTTTCTGAGTTTTGTTTGGGGGCAAATGCTTTTGGTCTCATATGGTTAATTGTTCTGAGGAGTGTGTTCCTCGCAAGTATTACTGTTCACTTTACAGACCTGTCTCTTTGGCTGATTCCTAGGGGTGAGTTTAGTTTGACATTTAAAGGATATCTTAAGGACCACAGTCTGTGGGTTTCAACAGTCTCTATCATACCAATAAATCTGCTCTTTTTTATGATACTGAATTTTGTTCTACATTTTTCTCCTACTCTCTCCAGGACCTTCTATTGAGATCCTGATCAGAGTGGTTGGTAGTGGTAGCTAGGTACCATCTAGTTCTTCTGGACTCTGGGTAGTGGAGTGTGGTTCACCTGGTCCATTAGACCTTGGATTAGTTGTTTCCATGGGTCTTTGATTTTCTTCCCTCTTCTTTGCTCCAGACAGGGAAAGACCAATAGTTGCATCTTAGATGGCCTCTTGCAGCTTTTAAGACCCCAGTTGCTGCTCACCGAAGTATGATGTAGAAAATTGTCTTTGTGAACTATGTTATGGCCATTTGACTTAGCTGTCCCCTGAGACTGTGGTCCTAAGTCCTCAAGCCCAGTAACTCATTCCCTCAAGGTATTTTGGTATGGCTAAGAAGTTTTCATAACTTTCCCCCTGTTTGCTCTAGTATATGTATGGATTTACTTGCAGCACATATCTTCTACCAGACCTGCATGTGCTCATGGGTGTAGTCCTGTTTGTGTACTAATACCTGTTCAGCTTGCATGTCTGCCTGTGTATCCACTAGTAGATTGTTATGTTATTATTGTTATTGCAGGAGTATGTATGTAACAGTATTTACCATCTTTGTAACTCCTGTGCACCTCTCAGTGTCTTCCTTTGCCTTGGTCATACTGTACTGATTTCCCCCTTATTGTATACTGTCTTTCTGTTCACCCAGTTTAATACATTTCTACTCTCTAGTTGGTGATTTTCCCTCCCCTCTCCTTCCATCCCTGATAACCATCAAAGAATGTTTCCTTTTGTCTGTAAACCTTTTCTTGACTTTTTAGAATAGTAATCTGTTACGTATTTGCCCTTTTGTGATTGGCTAATTTCACTCAGCATAACGTCCTCCAGGTTCATGCATGTTATAAGGTGTTTAGCAGATTCATGATTATTCTTTAGTGTTCCATAGTATTCCATTTTGTGTATGTACCATAATTTGTTTATCCATACATCTATTGATGGGCAGTTAAGTTGTTCCCATCTTTTTGCTATTGTGAATAATACTTCAGTGAACTGGGTGTGCGTATATCTGCTCATGGCCCAGCTCTCACTTCTTTGGGTATATACCTAGTAGTGGGATTGCTGGACCATATAGTATTTTTAAGTAGCTCTGAAGGCATGGTGCCTTAGACATTTGCCAGCTAACCAGAAGGTTGTTAGTTCAAACCCACCAGGACAGAAGATGAGGCAATCTACTTCCATAAAGATTTACCACTTTGGAAACCCAGTGGGGGTCACTATGAGTCAGAATCGACTTGATGGCAGTAAATTTGGTTTGGTTTTCATTTATAGTATTTCTGTTTCCAATTTTTTAAGGAAGCTGCATATCATTTCCATAGTGGTTGTACCATTTTACAGTCCCACCAGCAGTGTCTGAAAGTTCCAGTCTCTCCACATCCTCAGCAGGA